TTGCCGCCAAAAAGCCCGCGCTTTTCGCTACTAGTGGGCTATAACATATAGCCTAGTAGTAGCTCAACCAATCAGAACGCAGCATTGATAATAGACCACTAGTTGGATTTTACTAAGTAAGTAAGTAAGTAAGTAAGTAAGTAAGTAAGTAAGTAAGTAAAGACTTTATTTTATGAGGGTTAGCACGAAATAGCCGGGGCTAATAAACTTGTGGCCCTCTAAATAATAAATAAGTAATGGTAACAGGACTGAGTGGAGTCCAATTCGGTCTGTAATCATACGAGTGATTAAAAAAATCGGACGACCGCGTAGCGGGAGTCCGATTTGTTTAATCACGAGTATGATTACAGACCGAATTGGACGACACGAAGTTCTGCTACTAATTAATCATAACTTTATCAAAATTTGTGATATAATAGGCTATTTTTTAAATCAAAACACAAGAAATTCGAAATTTTGTTTTGCTAGCAGTGAAAAAAAAAAGCCATTGAAGCGCGAGCGTGATAGCGCGTACTGTCCTATTAAACTAGGGACTTTAAGATCCAACGACGCGGACGACAACGAGAACGTCAAAAAAACAATTGGTTTAATTAGCAAAACGACAACTTCGCACGTGCATCACACTTTTTTGTACATTTCTTTCCCGTTTTTACAAGACTACGACGTGAAAATGCCTAATTTCGCGTTTTATGGAGGACGTAAACAAGCAACGACGAAATTTTGTTTCTCTTTCTGAGCTTGAATATGGACCCTTGAAATTCAGCTTCAGGAGGGTTCGCCTACAATTGACAAAGTAAGTGGGTAGGAATAATCACTATAAAGACTGAAAGACCGCAAATTCACTTTTTACGCGACGTCCTTGTCGCCGTCGCGTCGTTGGATCTTAAAGTCCCTACTGTCCAATTAAGGCTGCAATCAGGGCAGTTGATAACCAATCAGATTTGACAATTTTGTTATAGTTATGATTAATAAATGAATAAATAAGTAAATAATACAATAATAAAAAAGTATACTAAGCTATAAAAAATACAACGTAAAAACCAAAGAATACAGATACTATAGAATCTACTAAATTATTCAAAAGATAAAATATAGCATTATAATCATCTCACAATTCATCAAGTAACTTAAATAGAAAAATGATCAAGATTCTGCTGTTGTTTAAAATATTCATTCCACAATCCTTTTTTTAAAGAGTCAACTGAGTCTCTTCGCCTTACAGCCAAAGATAAGCTGTTCCGTGCTTTGCAAGTTGTTACGGTAAATCAAGTTATACATTAAATTCCCATAAGTTCCTAAATTACATCGGTCCTCCCAAGGATGCGAATGCTCCCTATAATCTGCTACTAAAATACCATATTTGGCTATATACAACACAACCACTGCTGTCAAACCCTTCCAATATTTTACAGCTTATCGGCGATTACGGGAATCCCACAATCGCATAAGACTTGATAAAGTTCTCCCACAGACATGTAACGCTGATTCGCGATAAAGCCTAAGAGAGCATCAACTGGATTCGTGTTACGTTCGTCCAGGAAACGGATCTCTTCATGATTCAAACCCAGTTTCTCAGCAACAAGCTTCCACTTATCGCCACCCGCAACTATAATGGAGAGAAATCGAAACATAAACGTCTTCAAAAGGCTCGTTATGCAGTGCTACGTAGCATTTATAGCATCAACTGTCCAACAACAACCTAATCCTAAACCTAACCTAATCTAACCACGGTAGGGTAAGCTACAACCAGTTGCAAAAATGACACTTACAAAAAAACGACCTTTCTTGCTTCAAATCGCTGCTGGTCACAGGTCTGTGAGATATTATACTGACTTCCCTCCTCCCTCCCATTCAAAGTTGTTCCTCCAAGTTTTGAGCATGGTCTTTTATTGCTAGCAACTTGTGGAGGGGGGATCACAAGCACAAGATCATGGACAAAATGCCAAAATACGGTACAGTGTCTCAAGTACTTTTGTAACTGGTTGTAGCGGGAGATCGCGGAGTTCGAGCACAGGGGACGAATCAATACTCGGCCAGGCCTTTGGCCAACACACGGCTAGACCCCTCAGCACGAGATGTCAAAACAATGTTCTAAATTTCTGCGAGTACTGAGACAAGACAAGACTCTCGGTTGATTTAAGAAAGCATTTTTTTCACACCACCAAAACATGTTTAATTAAACCTGATTAGTTAAAAATGAAAAACAGTCACAGAAAAATGAAAAAGAGGCTTTTACTCGGCATTTAAATGAACTTTAACATATCTTTTTTTAATTTGCTCTAAATTTGTAATCAATAAAGGTCAATAAGCAGCTTTAAGGAAGGAAACAATTTTAAAAACCGTGTTTAACCCATTCGCTCCTGGAGATTTTGCCGAAAAACGCGTTTTGAAGCTAGTCGAGTGGTTTTCTGGTCACTGTCGTGCTATAAAGAGCTAAAACTTACCACAAACCGGTTTACAGGTCGTACACTTCACGGCCTTCTGATCCAGATGCAAAATATCAGCTTGCGAAGTTCGGGCATGCGCAGAAAGCTTGGGTTTAAAAGTGACACAGCAGTCTTGACTTTTACTTTTCGCTTTCTCTACTCCCCTCTTTTTTCGCTTTTCTTGCCTCATTTTTTTTTTCTCTTGCTGGGCCTTTAGTAGGCTTCATTTTGGTGGGAATAGTTTTTAGGAAAGCTTTAAGGATCTTAGGATTAGGTGAAAGGAAAGGTAGGAGAGCAATGGAACAAGATTTTCATGGAGATTTTCAGGTCAATGTTACATGGTTTTTTGCCCCTTTCTCCGGTGTCCTTGACTGAATTGTGCTCATTCTGGTATGGTTTGAAAGATCTCTTCACTCTGCACAAGTTAGCGGACAAAGTTGTCCTTGACCATTAAAACTGATGACGTCACAAAGGGTAGAAAGGACGTGGATCCGCACAGGGGGTTCAGGGGCGAATGGGTTAACTAAACAGATTTTTTTAGCAAGTTTTATGAATGGGGCATAATTCGTCAAATAGGTTGATTTAATCCTAAAATCAATACCAGTCAAGGCGATGGTAAGCTGTCTTGCTTGCGAAAACGGGATTCCTCTCACGTCTAGAGATTCAGGTAATAACGGACCTACAATCAAGCACGCATTTCAGTGTATAAAACTACTTTGTTGAGACTTGAGCGCAAATAAAACCAAACAAATATAGAAATATGATCAGAAAGCCTCGGAACCATGTTACAAACCGGGGGGTGCGTTTCCATTGATCATTTTGTGCAATCGGGGATTAAATAGAGTAATCTGGAATACCCGTAGGATTGACCTGCTGTTCCGGATGAGGTGTAACTGGAACATATTCCAAGCATTCTGCCCCCAGATCACGATATAATGCTGGTAGCGGCTGAGGTTTCATAACAGCATTGTCTCACACGAGGCCTTAATTCACTATTTCATCAAACAGCCTAAGACGAAAGCATTTTTCTCCCATTTGAATGCAATCTTATAAAACCCCTCTCATCGACTCGAGTAGTTCTAGATTTTAACTGTTGATACCACGTCAAATAGTTCATAGTTAGATCACCCTTCTTCCTTTAAATGAAAGAAGTAAAAACAATCCATTCAACTTGAAATGGATTAGCCGGGGGATTAGCATAAACCCTATTGGACGATACCGGATCTTCAAGTGGGATTTGAAATGGGTTAAAAGGGAACTAAAGCGAAAGCACTACTCTTCCGAAAGATGATTATGAGCAAAACTGATAAACACTCACCAGTAGTCCCAGCAGGTGCTATTTCTCTTAAGTAATGCAACACATCATGTCTGCCACAATCGCTAGCTTCTCTTGCCAAGCAACGAATCCGTTTCTTGGCTTTAGAGTCTGGCTCTTCAAGAGAGGCTTGATCGAGCTGAATAGTCTCCAACAGTGAACTAACAACCAGTTTGGCATCACCTGACTCGGAGGAAAGATGTTGAAGCACCGCACTGCTACAAACTGCCAGTGCCTTTTCTTGGTTTCCTAGGATTAAAACAGTGCCACACTCACTTAGAAAACTACGAAAGTAATACTTAAATTTTCCTTTGGTACGTCATTATTTTCCTCTGGAGTTACTGTCAACCCAAACAAAAAAAAGTCATAAAACGCGAGTGGTTCAAAACTTCGCATAAGTCGGAGACCGCATTAGGGGTATCATCTGCACAGTCCTCTCTGTAGAGTATTCCCCTTCTTTTTCTTTCTTCTTTTTGCCCATAAAAGAGGGCCTCAATGGGGTGGTAGCTTTCACGGCTAACGGTTAATTTTCTCCGATTTTGACTGATAAATTTTAGAAGCTTTGGACGGCTGACGAAATTTAGTCCAAGAGTTTTAGTAAATATTAACTTCTGTATAAATTTATATTAACCAATGTGTTTTGGGTGTTGTCTAGGCCTTTCACTTATAAAATTTAACATACTTTCAGTTATACGCAAGTTCTACGGTCCTGTAATGTCTAGAAGGAGTGTTTTTGACAACATTAGACTGCTTGCAGTCCGCCTTTTCTCTTAAAATATAGCGTGACAGTATAACGCGACTAATTTGACCTAACCGGAATTCCAAAAACTATTGTCGTTCTACCCTTGTAAAACGTGACAGGGTAACACAGTTGGAATGCAGAGGTCAACGCAACGCGTAAATAAAACTGACTGGTTCCTCTTGCCTAATCTCTAATTAAAGAGATGCTGTAGCCAGACGTCAATTGATGTGTAAAATGAAACAAAACTGAATGCAAGGCTGGCACGACGGCAAAGGACTGGTTAGCTTTTAGTGTTTAAAATACTGTCAACAAGCAGTACTTTTCTGGTTCTTAAAACTCGCAAGGCAACTTAAAAGGAATTTTTTTTATTTGACGTGGCGATCTACAATGGGCATATTCGTCCCTGTAAGGAATGACTTTTCACACCCAGAGAGGGAGAGTTGCATTAAGATAGAAAGACACATTGGCCGTCACATTTTGGGAGACAAAATGTCAGAAATGTGTCAAAGGTTTCAACTCGAAAAGGAATTAATGGCCGCCTTCGCTTGTTTTAACTCACAAGTTACGGTATGCTTAGGGGGTATTAGATCGATGAGTAAAGAATGGTCAGTGCGTTGTCCTACCTCTAAATTTAGACAAGACTTAATCGTAAGACTTACACAAGACTTAATCGTGTCACTCCCCAGGATGGAAATTCGCGACACAAAAAGGAAAAAGAACATTACAAAATTAAAAAAAGAAGCAAACTGCAGAACTGAAGTCGGCAATGGCCTTATGGGCCAGCCTCGACTAAAGAAAAAAAAGTAGCAGAGCCGAAAACGTAAGTCGGTGTTGGCACTATGGGCCTGCCCCAACTAAAAAAGCGGCTTGACCTCGGTGTAAAAACCTCACAACTGACGTCACAGAATTTCGAATGAAACTGACGTAAATTACCAAATAAACTCTCGGTTCTTACTGATGGGTCTTGTGGTTGTCATAGTTCTCGTAAATTAAGGCCGCAAGTCAAATGACAATAACAATGCAGCATCTGAGGCAATAACGTCAGAGACTTCTAGTATCAATCAATGAAGTTTATACAAGACCATCAATCGTGCGTAGTGTGTCGACGCACTCCAATGACAGTGACCATTGTTTTGAAGAGAAAACAGAAGGATACATTTGCTACAATAGTGTGCTGTATTCTTAACATAAATCCATTTTGAAATTCACATTACGTAACTATGACATAAACACTGTACCTGATTGAGAGAATTAGTGAGTACATTACAGGTATTGAGCGTAAATGTGATGGCCATATAGTCAGTGATAAATTTACAGGGTGGGAACCTCTGAAGCCCTCTCCAGTCCCAAATGAAGTTTAGCCTTCTAAAAAACAATTGCTTAATTTTATCATCGATATGATCTGGAGCAAAAAAATTTCGAATCATAACATGAAGCCAGCAGTTCATGCCTTGGCAGGTCTAAACACAAGGCTTCACCTAATGGTGTCAGTTACTCCTGTACTGTACGAACCCTTCCCTTTGGATTCAGCCTGTGAAAGTGAACATGACCTCCGCAAAAAGTGTAAAAAACATTAAAACGGAGTATCACTAGGTATTTTCTTGCCAGTGGTGGTTGTTTAATCATTATCCTTACCTTCACCCAAAGTGAACGGGTCTTCGTCACATTCATCAGTTCCAAGCTGTAATTCATAAGCAAGAAAAAATATAACACTCTTTTCCTCCCTCATTCAGAGATATTTGACGCTGTTTTAATTTTAGTTTAACTGTTTCCGAATCAGTAGTTCAGTATTTCTTTGTGGATAATGCTTTTCCTTCCGCAGCTGCTAAAAAAATGTCATCACATATAAACGAAAACGTCTTAACCTGGACAAAATTTTAAAAGCTATAGCTTAATAATTTTGCTACAGTAGATTCAATGTTACTGAAATAACAAAGTGGGGGGTGGTGGTCGGGAAAGGGTTTGGGGGGGGTGGATGGAGAATCTGCAATTACAGAAGACCCCGACAAGATCACTTCTTTATCCAAGTGTAATAAATATGGTTCAGTGTATACCTGTTGTCTTGGAGCAGGGAACCAAGGGGAAAACTGCTCGGTCTGAACTGTGGTGCATCGAGCAACAGGGGACCTCTTGCAGGAGATATTTCTTGCGTTACTGCATAACTCCGATACAGTCCAGAAGTGAAGACATTGTTCTTGTTTGCATATTTCTCCACCATGCGTTCGGCAGCGGCGAACCTCCCTTCCCTTGGAGCAGACGGGACAAATGACACACCTTTCATACCTCATATTTCTCAGCCAGGGAAACTGATTTCGCATACACTCAAGAATCAAGCTCAGCTGCCTACACACCTGACCAGCACAGATTACCTCCTCACTGCTGAGTGGGCAGTGTGCTGAATTCCCTCCGTGAACAACGACTTCGACAAATGAAGCATGGCACACAAAAATTACAGAGCATGTACCTTTGGACATATAAAACCTGGCAAAACCCTTAAACAGCTGAGGGGTCTCTTCTGACCAAAACCAATCTCTGCCCCACTGAATAAACTGGACAACCATCCGAGGGAAAAAAGTTGGAGGAACTTGACCATTTAAAAATTTGACAAACAGAGAAGGAATACTGGAAGACTTCACCAACTCAAGAATGTCAGCTGATGGATATGCCTTCAACATTGATGGGACAAGATACTGACTATTGCTTGAGGCATTGACTGACCAAGGGCATAACAAGCTAAATCTCTCCATGATTCCAATGAGACTCTCCAATGTTTCTTTGTCTTCAAACAAAGGGCCCCATACATGAGCCACAAACTTTTCATCCACTACTCCTTTCGTCTCAAGCATATCCCACAAGTGTAAATAACCTTCCTCTTCAGGAACATACGGCTTTACAGTTATTACCTTCTTAAAAACATCAACTAGCCACTGAGGATCTAGGACTACCAATTTACTCAATTCCACCGTGTCTTCGAAATGAATCAAACTTCTTATGCCATGAAGATAGTTCATCAAGGTCTTAAACTCTTCCTTGTCAACAACGTTGCAATCATTTTTAGCAATATATTTTGCAGAGTCCAGGGACATGCGTTTGTTTCCCATTTCTTTTCTGGCCTGAAGAGCCTTCTCGAATTTTAACCAGTTGATTGGAATGGTCTCATCTATGAAGGGAAGCTCATTGGCAACAGCAATTATTTCCTGTTGCAAACGGCGAATCTCTGGACAGACAGAACCTTCGACGCTTAAACTTGTGTTATCTACACAGAATACCTGACGAAGATGAGAGCCATATGGCTTTCTCCTTAGAAAACCAAATATCTTTCGGGCCAATTTGTCTGGATTGCCATGATCATAAGGTTTATCAGCATGAGTGCACACTAAAAAAACCGGAGGAAGCTTCTTTGGGAGCAACCCTGGGAGTGACTCTTCTGATGAACCTTCCCTTTCATTGCTGGGCCCCAATGATGCCACAGACCTCATCCAAAAATCAAGATAATCAAAATTTGTTTTTAGATTGTAGCTTTCTTCACTTTCATTGTATACTCCTTGTTTTAACACAGGCTTTGCCTCATCATCAGGATTCAGGCTAAGGTCATAAACCAAGAAGAAGATCGCTCTTTCTGTAAGAAAAAGCGGATGAGTCTCATAATAGACTGATTGACCAGCAAAGTCCCAAAAAATAAAATAAATTTCTTCTCTGTTGTCGTTCACCTTATCATTTGAGAGGAATTGTGAAGTTACATTTAATAACTCTTTGGGGACAGTTGAAGGTGACAACTTATGGCTTTCTTGAATCAGCTCTTGATGTCTTAAAGCACCTTCCTCTTTTTGAGCAACTTTAGAATCAAAGGAATTTGAGCCTACCTCTGCCACAGTATTCAGCTGAGTGGTTTCCCCTGGTGTTATTAAAAAATTTGCCATGCACCTTGCTAAGTGATAGTCAGGAGAAAAGGCTTTATCTAAATCTTGCTCTCCAGGACACCAAGTCTCAGTCAACACTTTGAAACAGGAAGGATCCACATCAACCCCAACAGTGCTCTCTTCCTCTGGGTCAAAACGAATCCCTTTCAATGATTTCTTTGTGCTGGTCTTTCCTGCACCGCCTTGTCCAATCAGCATTAATGGCACCCTCCTTAATGTGGTTTCTCCATGGGCAAGGGCCTCTTTATATGCCCTGAGAGCTACGGGACCCTGAGTGAGAATTCCAGCAGGAACTGCAATGAACAAAAAAAGGAAGGAAACAGTTGAGGAAGTGGAAGTAATATCAAAACTATTATCATTTAGTCTGTTTTGATTCAAGTTACTTCCAGTAAACCAAGCAATCCAGAACTCTTTGGAGAATTCTAGCACTTCCAAATAGGACAAACTTATCAAGTAGATTCAGATCCAGATATATTCCAATCCTTCCTCAGTGACCTTCTTACGACAATAAGAATGACTTCTATCGGTATGTACGTTTTCTCTAAACACATCATCTTGGAATTTTTTCAAAGTCATAATTACCATATTGTTTTCAAAAATCAGACAGCAAATCTCACCTGTTTTAATTGGTTCCCATTTCCCAGAATACCAATTTGGGACAAGAGTCAACAAGGCATTCCATTTCGAGAGCACCCTCTGCCCAAAAGGCAAAGGCAAAGTTTTAAGTTGGCTGATATGTTGACCGAGATATGTTGGTTGTCATATCGACCGAGGTACATGTTAATGTTCTGGGTAACCGACCTCGGTTTCGATAGGTCAGTTGCTCAAACCAAGCATGCCTTAACCAAGTACCAAAGTCAAACCTAGGATGGTTTTTTTGAATCCGAGGACCGCTGCTCAGAAACGTAAATTGACAGTCGACTGTGATATTTAAGATTTTAAGAGTTTGGTTATGGTCTCAAATTAAGGCCATTCCTTCATCTGTTAAAGGAAGCTTGTAGTAATCTTTTCCATACATAACAAAACCTCGAGAAAGATGTTCCTCAGACAGTGACACAGACAGCTCAAGAGAAAAAATCTGAGAACTTTCTTGCAGGAGTAAACAGATGCTCTACCACTGAGCTACAGAATACTTTTAGGTGCAAACAAAACCTCATAGGATAAAGGTTTACTCTCTGCAGCTTAGATTGTTACCTTTTCTAATTACCTTACAATCTGAAGGTCCTGATGAAAATAGGCTTTGAGGTTGTTTATTTGTAAATGGGACTGGCTGAATTAACCAGTCCTGCAATTGTAATTTGCTTACTGTTTGTCCAAACCGTAACCTGACCCTTTGGCTGGAACAATTTTTAAATATCTTACCTAAATTTTCAGGTAGATTATCATCTTCATCTCTTCCTACTTTCAATTCATCAATTTTTTTTCCCAACCTAGAAATATCTTCTTTGCTGGCATTATCCACTTCAACTTGTTGCGTTAAAACATTGATGACTGATCTCATACTCGCCGGAACTTCCCTGAGAAATTCTATGAACCACTGAGACATGTCGTGGATTCTTTGTGTCAAATTTTGACGTTGGTAGCTGGGAGGGTTGTTATACTCCGTCACCCTAGCAAATTCATCAATTGAGGCTGTCGGGACACCAAGGGCTTGAAACGCAGCTTTGGCATAATTCAAGTACTGTTCAAATGTCGGGCTGTCCAACTCAAGGATGGCGGCGTGACTTATCGAATTTCTAAGTTTACGAAGCTGATCAATCGCAAGTGCAAAGGTCTCTGCCGTGTTTCCAAATGGACTGACCACACATGTGTGGAAACTACCATCATGCACTCCACGGGGCTTCACGTACAAATCACTTAGTGTGGCGTAGGAGCCTCTACTTGTTGGTAAGGCAAAGGACTGCGCAAATATAGTGGCCTGAAACAGGCTGGTACAATCCCAGTCATTGTAAGACTGGTGAATAGGAATTTTAGTCCTGCCACCCTCTGTAGCTGCAAACAAATTTCTCACAGCAGCGGAATCATCCCAGAGCTGGAAGCCTTGGCGATTTCCATAGACGATGTCCCACATGGTTTTAAAGGTGTGCCGTAAGGCTTTGGGGAATTCATCTACCACTAAGATCGTGAACTTCAAGAAATTCAATTGTTCATCTGTAAATATCTGCATTGTTGTCATCTCCAGTTAGTATACGCAGTAGGTGAAGGAACTTAAAAATAAATTAAAGAAAAAATATATCAACAAAGTCAACTCGCCTTTTTCCCCAAAATTACGGTTTTCCTTGTTTATTTTGTGATTGTTTGCTTTTCAGCCACCCCATACGAGCTGGGACGCCATGGATAGGTTTAACATTGTCCTGTTATCAGAGGGAGAAAACGAGAAATGCTTTAAGGGTAACTGACAGACAAACAGCAAGCCAGTTTAAATCAAATAAAATGACTTTTGATGTGGACCTGGCGGGGTACTTTAGGAAGTTTTGGGCAGGGATATGTCACTGGTCCCCTAAAAACTTTAGCCTATTCTATATAGACCTGCTACCTCAGGCCTGTTTCACTATATTTCCCATCTATCAACGCTTTCTTTCCTATAAAACTGAGTTGCGGGTAAATTAGAATTTGCCAGACTTGTTTTTTTTAATTGTCATCTCCCATTTTCCCTAGTCTAAACTAAAATCCTCAATTAGCCTGTGTTGCTGGCAGGATCGTCAAGTCAGTGCCCATTGATGCAGAGTATTGCAAATCCGTGCACACGAGACTGACAGCTTTGCTGTCAAAACCTCACTCGCGAGGATTCCTTGAAGTTCGCTAGCTCAGTATGCTAATCCTCAACCAATCAATCAGTTTTCAGAAAATGATACCCTATTCTAGACTCACACTTTCTGATCTCTATACCCTATCCCAGACTATATTGATTTTAAAAATCATCCTTTCACAGCGACACATACCTATATACCCCATATATGGAAGTAGCTGCCTTGGTGGTGAGGGGTAACAAACAACTAGCAAAATTAGCCTTTCTCAGGGCCAGAGCAATTGGCCAGAGCTACACTGAAAAAGAATACTATAACGGGTCCTAAATTACATGAGAGGTTAATGATAACCTAAAAATGAGAACAACAGATAAAAATAATGGTAGATAGGTAAATAATATTATACAATAAAATGATTGATAAGGTACAGATCAACGTTCGTCCCTGCGGTTTAAACCATCTGGTGAAAGTGTTTTGCCTCTATTTATCTTGCTAAAGGCCGTTGAACTGTACCTTATCAATCAATCACATTGCGTGACTCTGGCCCGAGCGGCTGCCATGAAGACTAGAATTGTACTTTAATATCCTGCACGCAAAACGAACAAAAAAGTAACTTCACACAATGACCACGTTTGCTCCAATCCAAACGATATTGAACCGCTAAAAGTAATTTGTATTTCGAGATATAGCGATATTTTTATTATTGTCGTAGTCACGTTTTGCTTCGTTGGTAAAACTGCCGAAACAGCTTTAAGCTTACTTTTTTCCGCATTCCTCTGTACGCAAAACATCTTTCCGCACCAAACTTGACTCTAATGATGTATTTGGTGAGCCTGAACTAAGACTTTCAAGGCTTTTGATCAGTACTTTATTATCTGCGTTAGGTAACTGCATTTTTGTGCACGGGTGGCTAGGAAATTACTGTAGGTAGCCTCGGTCGATGTATCGGTCGATATATCAAAGCATCATTCTGTTATTAGAATTCATAATTTCAACAAAGTTTACCTTCGCTGTAAGACATCAACTCTTCGTTGGATGTTCAGCGTTTCAGGCATCAGTCAAACGCCGATATTTCTGTACCAAGCGGTACCAAGCTGTTTAGTCAGCCGTTTTCTTGTGAACAGCGCGTATTAAAGAACAGACTCTTGTTTGCGCGATGTTTGATGGGAAGGTTTAAGCAGCCACGACGGCGACAGCTGCGACGGAGCTTTATACAGGGTGTCCAGTTCCTATTTCCTCCTATTTTTAAACTAAAACCACCTATTTTTTCTATTTTTTAGCTGGAGAAGTCAAAATTTGCAACAAAATTGAAAATGGAATTATAGGTGTATGTGTTTTTGAGTGAGATTTATCATAAAGCAAGTAGTATTTTGATTTTGATGTGTTCTAATAGCAAAAGCAATAGTTACATTGTTCTTTCTATGTCTTCTATTGCTTATTAGAGTTCTGTGGTTACTTTTTGTATAATCTTCTAGTGCACCTACATGTATTGCATGTCGTGTTATGGTTCTCATGACTATTGAATAATAATGTTGATAGCTATGGGGCGCCGTTTGTAAAAAAAATGATTTAGCTTAATTTTGTCATTTTTTGCGTTATTTATTAAATAAAGTTTTCTGATATGATATCATACGTCAATGATTTGATATAATAAATCTTGATTTCAAATCATGCGTTTATGATTTGATATAATAAATTATTATTTAAAATCATGCGTTTATGATTTGATATAATAAATTCTGATTTCAAATCATACCTTTATGATTTGATATAATAAATTATTTTTTCAAATCATACCTTTATGATTTGATATAATAAATATTGATTTCAAATCATAAGTTTATGATTTCATATAATAAATCCTGATTTCAAATCATAAGTTTATGATTTGATATAATAAATCCTGATTTCAAATCATTCCTTTATGATTTGATATAGTAAATCCTGATTTCAAATCATAAGTTTATGATTTCATATAATAAGTTCTGATTTTAAATCGTAAGTTTATGATTTCATATAATAAATCCTGATTTCAAATCATAAGTATACGATTTCATATAATAAAAATCATTATCTGATATCAGTAAAACCATGATTTAATTTAATAAGTAATAAGTAACTGCGTGACTTGGCACGTGGGTTACTAGCGCGGGAATAATCGCAAAGATGGCGACACAACCAGATCAGCTATCGAGGTCAATCGCTTCTGCGGTCTCTAGAGCCGTAGAGAGGGCGGTTGACCAAGCTTTGGCATCTCTTCCGAGCCTTCCTGGAAATTCAGGTTTTGCTCCTGCGACACAGGAGGTATGTAACATTGATGTATCACTGCTAAAGCATCCCAGTCGCTGCCGGGGTGATGACCTGTGTGTCGATGTGATTAACAAAAACATCATTATTGATGTCTTCCAAGCGCCTCATCTATTTCTTACATGTTGTACTGCATCATTAGTTAAAGGGATTGCATGTTAAGCGGAAAGCTATGACTATATTTACGAGGGAAAGAGGACTTTTGGACCTTTCGTTTGTCTGGCGCATTGCGTGACACGCGCGGCTTAGTTTTAGATGTGTTTGCTTCCTTTGTTATGTCCTTTTAGTAGCCATACTAAAATAACATACAGTGAATGAAAGTCCTCTTTCCCTCGTAAATATAGTCATAGCTTTCCGCTTAACATGCAATCCCCTTAACTAATGATGCAGTGCAACATGCAAGAAATAGATGAGGCGCTTGGAAGACATCAATAATGATTTTTTTGTTAATCACATCGACACACAGGTCATCACCCCGGCAGCGACTGGGATGCTTTAGCAGTGATACGTCAATGTTACATACCTCTTGTGTCGCAGGAGCAAAACCTGAATTACCAGGAAGGCTCGGAAGGGATGCCAAAGCTTGGTCAACCGCCCTTTCTACGGCTCTAGAGGCCGCAGAAGCGATTGACCTCGATAGCTGATCTGGTTGTGTCGCCATCTTTGCGATTATTCCCGCGCTAGTAACCCACGTGCCAAGTCACGCAGTTACTTATTACTTATTAAATTAAATCATGGTTTTACTGCTCTGGTTTTACTGATATCAAATAATGATTTTTATTATATGAAATCATATGCTTATGATTTGAAATCAGGATTTATTATATCAAATCATAAACTTATGATTTAAAATCAGAACTTATTATATGAAATCATAAACTTATGATTTGAAATCAGGATTTACTATATCAAATCATAAAGGAATGATTTGAAATCAGGATTCATTATATCAAATCATAAACTTATGATTTGAAATCAGGATTTATTATATGAAATCATAAACTTATGATTTGAAATCAATATTTATTATATATAATCATAAAGGTATGATTTGAAAAAATAATTTATTATATCAAATCATAAACGTATGATTTGAAATCAGAATTTATTATATCAAATCATAAACGCATGATTTGAAATCAAGATTTATTATATCAAATCATTGACGTATGATATCATATCAGAAAACTTTATTTAATAAATAACGAAAAAAATGACAAAATTAAGCTAAATCATTTTTTTCACAAACGGCGCCCCATAGATATCCTACTGAAACTGCATTTCAGTATGTATGCTTTTATGTTTATTTTTGAAACTGAAAACAGGATCAAGTTGTCCTCTCACAACAAAGGGCAGATAAATTATCTAATCAGCTTCTTGTTTAAAACACCAATCACTAGCTGATTCTTGATGCTACATGAAAAGAACAGACTAAAGTTTAGTTTACAGCACTAGCCCCCTTGGTGAGCCCTTTAGCTTGTTAACAGCTATACCTAAGCAACTGACGAAGGGTCCAATATTTTGGTTGCGAAACCGGTCTTGCAGACATAGTTAAGCAGAGTGTTATGTTTTTCTTAGAACTTAACCATGACACACTTACATTCTTGTACCAAATAGATCAGTGTCATTTTGCGTACACAGTGGAAAGCCTGGTTCTGCGGTCTTTTGACCCAAACAAGCATATTCTCAACCAGCTACCGATTGCAGATTAATGGAAGGAAAGCTTTTCATAGGACTTTTAAGTCCCAGTTCGATATCCTTCAACGACAACCCAGTCGTAAGAAATTTCTGTCCTAAGAAATATCACTCTTCGGAGCTTTTGAAAGATTTGCCGCCGACTTGAAGAGAGTTTGCAGATGATCAGTCAAGCATATCATCATTTCTGATTACACATTCTGAGCCAATAAACTAAACATTATTGATCATTTTCCCGCCTTGTTACCTGTGAAAGTTGATCAAAATCCTGCGAACGTAGAAGCTGAGGATTCGTAGGTTTAATTATAACCCTGATGTGGTGCAGGTAGTCTATCTTTGTCGAGAAAAGTACTATTGATTTTCCTATTTTCCTCCTATTTTTTAATACGAAGTTTCCTATTTTTCCTATTTTCTCAATCCTGAATTTCCTATTTTCCTATTAATTTGAGCAACCATTCCGATGAACACCCTGAGCTTAACTACGACGACGATGACGATGACAACTTCAAAAAACAACTGATAGGTTTAGTGACCAAACAACAGCTCTGCACGTGCATCACGCTTTTTCAGAGTACATTTCTTTGACGTACTCCACTGCACGACTAGCCGACTACGACGTGAAACCTACTTTGACGTTTTATGGAGGACGTGGACATGCGACGACGAATTTTCCTTCCTATTTTTGAACTTGAATGAAATCTTTAAGAATTCGATTCCAGGAAACGTCTTCTGCATTTGACGTATTGAGCGGGTCCAAATAAACGCGATTAAGTTTGAAAGAACGCAAATTCATTTTGTTAGCGACGTTTTCACTGCTGTCGTTGTTGTCGTTGCTTAAGCTCCCTATAAAAAAATGTCTATGTTACACAGGACGATTCGCAATAACGAAATTTAGTGCAACGCAGGATTAATATTGCAACTATTCGAAACAGTAGTATCGCAACCCAAAGTCGTCGTTGCTAATCGTCCCGTGTAACATTACCTTAAAAAGTGAATTCGCACTCGTTTTGACCTTATCGCGCAAATTTCATGTCGTTCAACTTATCAAATGCTGGCGAATTGTTCTGGAGTTGAATTCTAAAGGGCTGTAAGTTAAGTTCAGAAATAGAAAATAGTTGTCTCTGTTTTCCGGCTTATGTTCACGTCCTTCACAAAACGTGAACGTAGGGAGTTTGACGTCGTAGTCGTGCAACGACGACAAACATGAGATGAAATGTACAAAAAAAGCGTCATGCACGTGCAAAGTTGTTGTTTTGCCTTTTTGCCGTTCTTAGACTCACTGTCGCGCATGCTTTCCGCAATAACGTTAGCTGATGGCCAGGCATCCATCCATAGATGGATCTATCGCCAGGTTGGTGCTGTCATAGATAAACCAACTACAGGTTTCTACAGCTAAAAAGAACAACCTGTTTCACGTACAACACACTCCAGTTTAGCGTTGAATTCTGCTTAGATTTTGCTTTTCCTTTGATTTAGCCTGTGTACAGCCGTGTCCTCCCCTCATGTTAATTGAGGGGAGGGTGCGACAGTACATAGGCTATAGAATCGCTTCCTCGACTGATTTTCGCGGTTAAATGGTAACAAAAGAGCATGCCAGTTTGTTCCATCTTCTCATCATTTAAATGATGAGACTTAAGTAAAATAAAACTGTTAAACACAAACACGGATTTATTAACCAATTTACACATACATGTATTAACAAGTATAAACAATCCTCAAAGGAGGTCCATTCTAACTTAAAGGAAATAGCTTTGTCTGCATAGGCCAGGCCAGTTCTGTTGAAAAAAAAAAAACAGTAAAACAACCTTACAATAAATAAATTTTATACCAATAAGTTACTATTATGCAATAAGCTAAAAGGGACAACATTTTTTCTAACAAACAAGGGTAACATTGTTTAGAGGGAGGGGACTAGACTGTGGCCCCCACCCCACCCCGCACACTTTAATAAAAATTGTTGCGCGGTTCCCGCTTTTCCTTAGAAGACAATTAGCCGGTGTGACAGGCGTCAAAAGTGGTTGGGAAAAAATGAACAAAAGGGCGGAATTTTCCCTTTCGTGTCCCTCCCCCCACCCCCTACACTTCTTCGTTTAATGAAGTCACACGTGACCAGCGTGCGCAGTTTCCTACAACAACTTCAAGAAATTACAGAGTGTAGCCTACCTGGCAGGCGCCAAAAAAAAGGGAGGGAGGGGAGGGGAGGGGGAGAAAAGCGTGAAGAGAAAAAAGGGAGAGCCACGCAGGCTACACAGAGGGATTAAAATCCACTTCAGAAAGCACAATACCTGAAAAGACAACCTATCACATCGACTATTTAGGGAAAGTGACCAGCTGTTTTAGTTCTTCAAAGTTCTTAATGACCTTCAGGTTCGTATCTCAACCACAAAACTATCTCTAGGTTGTTCCCAACGTAGCCCGGTTTCAGTCAAGTCTTTCTAAGGACCCGCGCAAAAAGCTTCGTCGCACGGCGTTCGACCGACGATTTGGCGGCCTGCGTCTGACACCAAAGCATCATGCCGTAATCCTAATGTACCTTAAGGACATTAAGTTAAATTAATAGAAGATCAAAAATCCTCATACCACTGTCCAAGACAATGTCTATTGGTGTTGTATATCTTTTAAGGTATCCTGACGGTGTGTTAAGGTCTTGAGAGTTCAAAACGTATTCGATTAAATCTGTGCGGAGTTAAAGTACAGAAAAAGTGTTCGTTACATGTACGACATGGTGGACTCAAACGATAAACCACTCTTTAAAGTAGTTTGAGTCGTATTTAGGCAATCGAAGCCAGAAGAGCATGGTCAACTGCCATTTTCGACAAGGAAACAAATCGCTTGTGGAGTCCCTCAAGGTTCCATCTTAGGCCCGTTACTTTTTCTTAAATGTATTAAAGATTTCCCAAATTGGCTAGAGCAGGCTGCCTCTTAGACTTTCAAAAAAGTCCTTCGTCGGATTTCATATGACTTCGTCGCTCGCGGTCGGCCGCTTCGCGGACAAAAAAGGCACGCTCCGCTCGCCAAGAGGTCGACTTGTAGCAAGTCTAGCTGCCTCTAAAAAGTGGATGGCTTTAACAACTGCTGGTATGGTGTCTTTGCTGTGTTTTCAGTGCTTTAAGGAGCAAATTATAATGAAATAGGTTTTCCTACCACTATTGCAAGAAACTTTGCTGCTTGTACCAACCACCAAAATGGGGTGGATCAGAAATTCCAAAGAGGTTACCGACAATTGCGGCAAGAGCACAACCTCAATCCATAGACGGATTAACGGTTTCTAATGTTAAAAAATGTGATTAATAAAAAGAGAGAAATCTAAGACTAAAAAGTGAGGCAGGTTGTGGAGCAGGTAGGAGGAGGGGGCAGGGGGGGGGAGAATCAACCCCATTATAATAATACTAAGATTGTAATATTTGCAAGGCTGCAGACCTTTTTGGTGTATATTCGGGAAATCATGCTTAACCAATCAAACAATCAGAAAGAACCAATTGCTAGAATTGGAAATAGCAATGCATTGTAAACTCTGGTCTCTATGGAAAAAAATTGGATGAACTGTGAGCTATTCCATCCTTATAATGCTGCATATTACCCCATTTTAAGCGTTTAACTAAAATTACAATACCTTGTCTTACTAAAAGATCAGGTACTTTTTCTGGTAATTGATCCATGGTGTTTGTCAAACTGATCTGTAAGAAAAAACAAGTCCATAAATTTTTTGAATGTAAGTTGTCAAATTGGATGCAGGGTATAGCCTGATATTTGACCTTTGCTTCAGTATCATATCAGGTTTTATCTAATAAAAAACAAGAAAATTATTCAGTTCTGTGTAATTTGTTATGAACTGTCTGTCTTATTGTCAGGTCAACACTAACCTTTGGAAGCTTTGCCAAATATTCTGCTAACTTAATGACAAGTGAAAGGGCTTCTGTAGCCTGGAACAAATTGGAAACATTCTTGACAAACAACACGATTACAGAGACTCTAAACAATAAGTTTTTCTCATGAAATATTACTTGAAGTTACAGGTAGTAGATTGCAGATAAATGACATAATCAGCATGGGCAGTGCAGTGCTGGCTCCAGACCTTGAGATAATGGGGGGTAGGGGGGTGGGGGTCATCCAGACCCTTAGAAAAGTGGGGGGCAGGTCTCCCAAAAATATTTTTTCGGCCCTTCGGCCTCAGTTTGGTCTAAAAATAAGGGGGGAGCCCGAGCCCCAAGGCCCCTCCCCTGGATCTGCCACTGCAGTGTAAAGTATAGTTTACTAGATAATATAAATAATGCTGGAATAAGGTTGGGTAGCTTTCTGGTGAGCAAAGTGAAACACCATTGTAGCCACACTTGTCATATCACTTGTGGTCAAGACATCAAACACAAAACTGTTTGGAAAAAAAAAACACATGCAATATACACGTATTAAGCTGGTTCTGACTTACATCTCAAGCAAATTAAAGACGATTGAGTCAGATGTTATGACTGAGGATTAAGGTGTAAACCCTTCTGAAGTCAAATTGTATGGAAAAGGTCTAAAACTAAAACGATCGTTAGAGAAGTCTAGAACATTTATTTAGTAGTATATGAGGGGTGGACTTAACTTGCTTCCCGAAGAGGATTAATTCTCTTAATTTTTAGATAAATTCTTTTGCATGTCCATGAATTAAGCATAAAACAGACTACTTCATTCATTGCCTGCAACTCATGGACGGCTATATAGCATTTAGACAATTAAAACTTGAAAAACGCCCTCGTACATCTACACAAAAGGGAAAGAGCCAAGTGTCTGCATAACTGAGGTGTCTAAATATTAGAGGGGTAGCAATTGTATGAAGTTTAGTATTATTGGGAGCAAGAGAACTGTCTATAATAGGGAGGTGTTTATGTTTGGACAGTGTCTGTAAAAGGAAGGTGTCTGAACAATCAGTTGCACTGTATTATTTACAACATAGTATGCCTACTCAATAGAGTGTAACTAAGCAACTGTTCGTGAGTACCAAATGCCACTGTACTTAGAAAAAGACTTACCACAACATCTATAGGTTCGTTTGTTGTAAACTCTTGTATTCTTGGGGCAGCAAGATTAAGAGTTCTAAAACTCCACTGGCCAAATAAACGATTATTGAGCTTGCTATAGTTAAGGTATTTTGGAGTACATTGTTTTACAAAAATTATGATGTTTGTCTTCATGTCATTGGTAAGTGAAATTCAGTTGTTACAATATCCCACCTAAATATGTAATGAATCTGACCACTTATAAATTAGGATACTCAGACTTTAAATCGAGACCCATTTATAAGTCAAGTCTGCTGTGTCACTTTTAAAGCCAAATGCTATGTTGAAATTTTGCTTCTGTGCATGCTGGAACTTCAGAATAGCTAATATTTTGCATTGATGTGGAACAGAAGTCCCTGAAGTGTTTGACTTATAGATGCCAGTTTTTGCTCATTGTAGCCAGACAGTGACCAGAAAACAGCTAAACTGGCATCAAAAGGCAATTTTTGGTAAAATATCCAAGGGCAAATGGGTTACAGTATTAAACTCTATGGTCTTCTTGGTAGTTACCCTGGGAGCAGAGTCTCCTTCGATCTTCCTAGATAAGTTGGGAAGGGGAAGGAAGAAGGAGACTCTGCCGCAGGGTACTTGGTAGTACAAACAGCATTAAAAAGGATACATCACCAGTGCACACAAGAATTTTTGTGTTTAGTAGCATACCACTGCCAAAAAATATTTGTGATCATTAGGCCTTTTTATAGGAATTTTTGCATTTTATTGTAAACAAATACCTCTTAAAAAAGAATAACCTTTTAAGGTGGAGCATACTTAGAAATTTTTTTTCTCAGTGAAACAAAACTGAATATATTTTAAGATGTTCATTAACCTCAAAATTATATAAACAAATAATTTGTTTATTATTACAGCAAGCTTAATTAGGGGCAAAAAACCAAATGTACTTAAGGTGCTGATGAGGTTGTCACCCCATGATAAAGAATGGTCAGTGGGAACAAAAAGGATGGGAGTCAACATTACAGGGGCGTGTAAGACAACCACGCCCTAGAGGTATGATTCCTGTCTTTGTGTTACTAGGTTGCAACAATTACAGTTGTTTTTACCTTATACTTTGTTCATCTTCTACCAAGTCCTTTACAACTTTGAGAAGCATGTTATAAGATGTCTACAGAACAATAAATAACAATCAGATAATGCTTTGGTGTTATAAATTTTTGGTAACAATGTGAAAACTTTGCCGAAACTGATCATAAACTGTTATAGTATCGTTATATTGTTACAGTATTAGCATTGTACACATTGCCCCCCTTGGCTTGCTTATTTCTGGAAATTTACAAAAAAACAACAAAACAAAACAAAACTGGATTGAATATTCAGTAGTATAGTCAAAAACATCAGTTTGAGTATATAATAAGCTTAATGTCCGATGCTAGGGGAACCAAAAAAGTATAAAGTTGCCTTTCACACGTAAAAGAACAAGAATACACAATGGTCAGAAATATATTCCTCAATGCTGCCATGTATTCCTTATAAATTTAAAATGTGGACCTGTCACACAGCTCATACAATAAAATATTTCCCTGAAATATTTCACGGTTCAATTTGAGCTGTCAGTTTCATGCTTTAAAGAAAAGTTTTCAAATTACTTATTATTTTGAAGATTTAAAAGAGGAAAGTGAATACAGGTTATTGAATGTCAGGAATATAATGCATGAGCAATGTTAAAGAGTGTGAATAAAATGTATACATGACTGACATAAATGAGTAAATCAAAGTACTGTATGCATGGAACACACAATTTTGCAAAAGATATTTTCTCTTACCTCTATGACATGAATTATGTGAACTGGGTAAATAAGAAGCAGTCCTGTGACAGCTTCACCATGGATTTGTGTTTGTAAGTCCTTGAATAACCTTTCATAGTGAGCTGAAATAATATTAAAAATCCTCAAGAGTTTACCACACACCAACAATTCAGAAACATCTACGGTTCTCAGCAACACCCCCTTTCCCTTTATAGGTCAAGAGAGCCTGCTTGATAACAGCATTTGCTTCTAGGGGTCAAGAAGATTATGGACTATGATATTTACGGTACGTCAATTTTCAGCTTAGAAGGATTTTTTATCATTATGTGGATGTCACACCAGTTAAGATGAAATTGATGCAGCATTTTACAAAAAAAAACTCTCTTAATAGACACTTCTGCAAGGGGGCAGTGCTACTAAGGCAGCGTTGACAAAACCGCATCGAACTCTCCCCAATACAAGAAATACAGTGGTGTAAGCAACCAACTTCAGTTCCAGATCACCTTGTCTGCTTTCTGAGGGTGACCACATAAGGAAACATAACTTTGACTAAATTATATCTGGATAGACTGTGATTGGACAATTTACACACCATACAACATATTTGCATGGCAGTCACATGTTGTTTACAGGTTACCCTTTTCAGTGCCCTGCTTACTTCATTACAAAACTTGTTGAACTATTTATATATGTAGAGGATATTACAAAGCTGTGTGAAGATATGAATTTTATTTTTGAGTGGTGAGAACAATATTATACGAACGAGCGCAGCGAGTGAGTAAAATATTGTTATTATGCATAATTTTCTTTTTGTTATAAAAACAGCACAAACTTTATTGTGAACTGCTGTAGTCTGGTGGCAGGAATTTCTTGAAGTTTTTTCCTTTTGTCTTCATTTGTAAGGAAATCCTTGAATAATTTAAAGTCAAACAAAGATTTCGTCTTCGTATTAACATTCTCCTGCTCCTCAGAGAAAGATTAATTTTATGTCAGCTTCAGATACGTAGATATGGAAAATACGCTACTTAAGTCTCGGATTTGGTTTCGTATGAACTTTATGAGTGGTCTGTTTTAAACTAAAAAAAACTCTTGTCTAAATAATAAAAACATAAACACTTTGGTATAACACCTACTGTGTTTAAGGAAAGGTCCATGGATGGAAGATAGAGTTGATTATGTCTTAAAATGATTAGGCGCAAGGTAAACATGTAACAAATGGGGCAATAATTATTTGCCCTGTTTGTTTATTTCTTTACTGTGCCCTTTATAAATTTAAACAATAACATTACAAGGTAAGAAGCAGCCTACCTCCAATTTCTTTCCGATCATTTACATCCTGACGAATTTTGGATACATAAACTAGCCGATGGACAAGTTGTTTCTGCAATCAAATGAAGATATAAGCTCACAAAGCATCGCTCAACCTTCATATTGACAGTTTCAACTTGTAAACACCTGTATATCAAATGAGCTTTAGAGGGATAATTCATGGTAATTTTTCGACAAAAAGAAATTAAAATGCAAAAATGGGAAGAGGTTTTCATTACCTTGTTTTGAGCACGGGTTTTTTCCAGAATAATATCAAATAAAGACAATCTTCCCGTGTCATAAACAGAATCTTCTTCTGCCCCTGGACTTGCCGCCATCTTTGTTTCTCCCGCTTAACTTTCGTTTCCATAGTAACATTGTAAACAAATACTGACAGTTTAGTCAGCGGTTTCTTTTGTGATTATGCGCAGTATTATTGTGTTCGATCGCCAAAAATATTGCGAAGGAGAAAAATGTCTTACCGTGACTTGAGAAGTAAGTGAAATAGTCCGGCTTCTGGTTCTATTTTCTATCATCTTAAGTTTGTAGTGTTGACATCAACTGTCTCTTAAGGCAGTGGACCTAGATTTAGACTGAAACCACGTCTTTTCTTTTGGTAGATTTTACCGAAATGATGCGAGCCCTGGGCTATCCCAGACTCATATCGATGGAGAACTTTCGTTCTCCCAACTTTCCGTTGGTCGCCGAGGTCTTGATGTGGCTTGTTAGAAGGTAAATATCAACTTATAAACTCAGTTAATATCTCTCCATTACTAAAAGACCAGTGGCTGGGAGGTAATGGATTTGATTGTGTGTTTAGGACGCAGTCTATATTTCACGTTCTGAAACTTAAGCTTTTAAGATGATTATAAATTGCATGGACAAAAGTCTCTATAACTTTTGATCACATCCAAAATTCCCGCTTTGTTTCTTAAGCAAACACAAGGCAATTTGAAAGGGATTCTGAAACATCAGACAGGAGGGGGAGGTACAGGAGGGTAAATCTCCCTCCTCCCTACTTTTTCAGGCCATTTCTCCCTCCTCCCTATTCGGTACCTCCCCCTCTCAGACAGAGCTGTTACTGAGGGCCAGGGGATGGGGCCTTCCCCTGGCAACTATGAGCACACCTTCATCTACTTTGAGAGAAATCAAACAGAACATAGAACATAAAAAACGTCCTACCTGTTCAATTCCTTGCCTTTTAATTGCATTGATTACGTGGCAACTTGAAATCTTAGTGACCTTGCTTGTGGGGTTGGTGGGGGTGTGGGTAGGGTTGCTGATGGAAACCTGGTGCTCAAAAAACCCTGTTAAATCCAGGGTGCTTAGTATATGATTTCTATTAAAAAACAAAGATTTCTATGTCACTCAGGAACAAAAGTAAAATGCCAGGGGCCACAAAGTGCTACTAGAGCACAGCCAAGTGCTTGGTATTTTTCTCCCTTATCCACCTTCCAGTAATTAAATACTGGTACTTGTATCATCCATGAAGCAGGTTCTTTGGCGTAGTTGTTTTTCTTCTATTTTTAGATATGACCCAAATGTTGAGTTGCCAACAGATGTTGACACAGAGCAAGACAGAGTGCTTTTCATAAAGTCGCTGGCTCAGTTTATGGTATTCAACAGACAATTATTTTTCTTAAGTTAATTTCAGTGCAACTGTGGCTCTCAGTGACAAATGATAGAGAAGGCCCGATACTCATTCTGAGCTTAGAGAAGTAACACATGAAGGAAAGAAATTAATTTGAAAAAGATTTGTTTATTGTTTCTCTCACGATAGTCACTTTTAGTTATTGAACGTGATGTTTCAACTGCATACTGCAGGTCCTCTTCAGGCATTAGTGACAATTTACTGAGTTGGACTACTACATAACATTGTAGTACCACTGTAGTTGCTTTGATTGGCGTATCACAAACCACACTCATGATTGGTGGGTTTCAATTCAAAGCATTATTAGAGTGGACAAAATTGTACCCTCAGTGGTCTGTTCTAGTACTGGTGTGTAAACTGTTTCTTGCTCAATGCAGGCAACCAAAGCACATATCAAGCTGAACACAAAGAAGCTTTATGGCGCTGATGGGTATGCTGTCAAGGAATTACTAAAAGTAACGTCAGTTCTGTACAGTGCCATGAAGACGAATGCAGGAAATCAGGTAGGCACTATAAATTATGTGCTAACCCATGTCCTGTGTGAATTTGGTGAAAAAAAGCTGTTGCTGGTTTTAAAACATGAAACTCCTTTTTTTTTTTTAATTCAAAGGCATCTGAAGAATCCAATGTGAGCTCCTTGACATTTGATATCTCATCAAGAGTAAGTAATCTTAACTTAACAAGTAAAGTTCCATAATTCAAAAAAAAAAGTTTAAATTTTTGAATACAGGATTTTCAAGTCCATTGGCCAATCTAGGGTGGGCCCCCCTTATCTTTATACCAACATGAGGGCGCACAGGGCTGAGGCACCAAGTCTACTATGTTTCAGTCAGAGAGCAGCCCTCTCTCCCTTACCTCATGGTCTCGATCTGTCACTGATGTTTCAGTTTTTTTATATAAACAAGGCCCCTTTGGTGTCACTGTACATGCAAAGGCAACTGCTTCAAAGCTAAATGATTATGAATGCACTGATATACACAATTTATTTTCGAGAGGATATCTTGAGTTACATGTGTATTGGCCTACTAGCTGTGGTATAGCCATTTGTAATCCTTTATAGTGACTAGCCATCAAACATCTACTTTTCCAGATAAGTGACTTGAAAGCATCTCGTCAGCTTGCATCAGAAATCACATCAAGAGGAGCTGCCCTCTATGACTTACTGGGCAGAGAAGTTGAACTAAGGGTAAGTGCATATGATTGCAAATGGCCGAAATAATTACTTTTTCACATTGTAGTCAAATACTTGTTTAGAATTTGAGTCTCTGCATCTCTGAATAATATAAAAAGTAAAAGTAAAAGTCTGAAAATAAGCCCCTCAATGTATAAGCCCCTCCAAATATAAGCCCCCCAAACTCGTAATGCAAAAAAACCCTCCATTCATTTGCCCCTCCAAATATAAGCCCCTGGGAGGCTTGTACTTGGAAAATTGCCCTCAATTATACAAAGTAAAATAAAGCAAAAACAGTTAATGTACTTCCAACTATAAGGCTAGCCCAATTGATTTCAAAATGCAAATTTCCCCTCGTAGTTAAGCCCCTCCAAAAATAAGTTCCTCAAAAAGGGCCTTTGGGGAATATAAGCCCTGGGGCTTATTTTCGCAATTTTATGGTATTTTTTTTCATCCACTTCCCATGTAACCTAAAGTTCCTCAAATGTCAAATTCAATTAGCTATATTTTTAAATATTGCTTTCATTGTGGACTCTTAGAGGCTTCGTTAGGAAAGTCTGTTGCCACGTTTTTTTTCATATTTTGTATTTTTCTTCAGGAGCTAAGGACTAGTGCAATAGCTAAACCACTGGAGTTAAACGAGTTGGAAAATGGAATCAAGAAGAGTGTAATTTCTGTTCAGGTGATCAAACAGTGCTTAAAAACGTGTACATTAAACTGCTGATGGCTATTGTGTGTATTAATATTAATCCAGCAGCCATTTTTGCATTGGGTCTATAAGCTTGTAATATTATTACAATAATAAACCTAAGCTCAGGAAATAACAAAAGCTTTAATTTAACTACATTAACTTTGAATTATTTCCATAAGTTAACTCAATGTTTAATTCAAACCCGTTTTTGCGTTTTGTTTCAGGATCCATATCATTTAAATAAATGCCACATTATAATGCAAACCAATCAGATTTGAATTGGGTACAACATTGAGTTAGCCGAATAGGTCTATTACTTTTGTCCAGGATGAAATAAAGAAGACCAATCAGATGTTGGACAACATTGCTTCTGATGAAGCAAACCTGGAAGCTAAAATAGACAAGAAAAAACAAGAACTGGAAAGAAACCAGAAGAGATTGCGAAGTCTTGAGACTGTCCGGTAAGAGTGACAAGCAATAGTCTCTCTCAGTTTACATTTTTGATTGGTCCCTTAATCCTTTCCTCCTTGACCAAGTTATGGTGGGATGATTTTTCATTGTAACTTTTACATCCATGGACAAAATCCTCTGGTGTTGCCATTCAAATGAAACCTCTTTGATGGTACTTTCACATGGTGTTATTTATTTAGTATGTAGTTCTAATCCTATGGTGTTACCATTCAAATGAAACCTCTTTGTCAGTACTTTAATATGGTGCTATTTGTTTACATGTAGTATGTAGTTCTAACTTTTAAGTCTTTGGAGAAAATCCTATGGTGTTACCATTCAAATGAAACCTCTTTAGCTCTTTTGCAGAATATTTGCATAAGTTTTATTATAATGTATTATTTGCTAGGATTAAACAAAAAGATATTTACTAATAGAAGTTTTGTGAATTTTTTTCATTGACATGCCCTAAGGCCCCAAGTGACGTTTGATGTTGTGATAAATTCTCCTTTTGTTTCACAAGCAAATACAAGGCAATCTGTTATGAGAATCTCACAAATCAACAGAAGTTGCTCAAGTCTTTTTTTCCACTCACCCTATCAATTTCTCCTTTAGCACCCTTGATGTTCTCCTCTGTAACAGAGCTAATCAGTTTTGCTGAAGTTGACCATTCAAAAGCCATTAGTTAAGCATTATTGATTCTTGTTGCCTTTGTAGGCCTGCTTACATGGATGAATACGAAAAACTTGAGGAGGAACTCAAGAAAGTGTATGAGGTACATTGTAGTGTTGTTTTGTAAGCTTCTGTGTGTTACTTGTTGTTCTATGAAGCGAGGGAGGATACGGAGGTTGGAGCCTGGGAAAATTGGGGGCGGGAGGGGTACTGGAGGCAGGAGTTCTAAACGGGTGGGTGGCGGGATAAGTCCGGGGGAAACTGCACAACAATGCTCAATATTTTGCAATTGAATAGAGGTACGGGAGCCAGGAATGCAAGGTAAGGAGGCTGGAGGTTTGGAACCCCTTCCCTCCATGTTTAAGTATCCATGTGTTGACTTTATTACAGGTATTTATGGAAAAACACCGAAATTTATCCTACCAAGAACAGTTACTCGAGGACATCAACAGGGCTGAACAAGACAAATTTGAGGTACCAGAAAACCTGATTTTAGATCTGATCAGATCTGTTTTGCATTTGTTTGTGTGCACACCCTTGCAAGCACAGCCGGTTTCAATGTGATTTTCACGAGAGATTTTAACTATCCTTCCTTTTTCGTTCAGGTTTTGAGTGACCAACATCAGTTTTCTCAAAATTTTCACCTAAGAGAAAATGCTTTGATCTTTTCTCAAATTCTCCCAACTAATTCTTTTGGGAAATGCATGGAGATCAGTCTGGAGAATTTCTGTGTGGATATTGTAGCTTAAAGGGTTAAGGCTATGTTTTTTGTTTCTCCCTGTCATGACCTTTCATTCCAGTTTTAAGCAATTGGCCATTTTCAAGTTGCCCAAAGCCTCTGTTTCAATGTGAGGCTAAATGCGAATTTTGCACTTAGCTTCATTTCAAAAGTGAGAGGTTTTTGAACTCGAAAAGGGACAAGTATGTCTATTTTTGTTGTTGATATCTGGTAGGAGTCAGAAGCAACTCTAAGAAACATGCAAGCTGGAGACCATGGCCGAGGACTCACCGCTGGAGAGGAACTTGGAGGTTTAGATGATGAAGGAGATGAGGAGGATGAAATTGTTCTTGATGCAAGCAACACACGACAGTCCAACAGGCCGCAAGGTATGTAGGCATAAAAAATCTTCCGTCATAGCCTTCATACAGACTTCTTCTTTAGTGAAAGGGAATCTGGATTCCAGAGTCCGGGAAAGTTTTGCTTGTGAATCCCACCAACGATTAAAATCTGAAATCCCAGTTCCACTGACAAAGTATCCGAAGTTCAGTACTTGGGATCTGGAATCTAGAATCTGGAATCCAGGATTGCCTTGGATTCCCTTACATTGGGTGAGAAAACCCTCTTCAAGCAAACTTTGGGAAATCAAAATTTGATGTGACTGGAAGTGTTAGCGTTGGTGACCATTTCGTGAATTCTCATGTTAGATTCATGTTAGATTGATAGTTCGTCACGACGAAATTCCCAGCAATTTACAAGAAGTTCTCATTTTGTCTTCATTTTACTTACACAGCCGCTGAAGCTGGTGGCCGCGTGTTTGGTTCTATGGGAGGCGGTCTGGACTCTGATGAGGTCAGTAGAGATCATGGGTGCTTACCACTTGCACCCCCCCCCCCCCCCCCGCCTCGCGTGAAATCTTGTGCATAGACATAATACTATAAAAAAATTGCATCGCCTCAAATCACAGCCCATATTTTTGTTTCTCAAACGGAGTGGCGCGAACCATTTGTTTTTCCAGCCGGAACTTCTGGTTTTCCCATGTAAATGATAAGTACCCCAGTAGATTTTTTCTAGTAAACGATTGTGCAGACTATCGTCCACAGTCGCCAAGGTAATAACCAAGAAATGTGAAACGCGAATACTCACAACTTATTGATTTTCTGAACCTATTTCTTGTAGGACGAGAGTGGTTCTTTGTCGTCCGGGGAGAGCGATATCGGCGTGGATGACGATGATGACGAAGAACTTCTTGACGATGACGACATGGAAGAGGGCCGCGGGGAAGGCCGGGATGACGGGTCCCAAGCTAACAGTCTTAATGACAGCGATAATGATTTCTGAACGAACTCAAGTCTGTAAATAGAGTGCTATTGAATAAAGCTATTGGGCATCTTGATATTGAGTTAGAAAGTTTTTTGGGAAATAGTGTTCTGTGTAAGTTTACATGCGAAATAGGGTCGCTTAAAAAGTGAATTCGCGTTTTCTCAAACGTCATTGCTATTATTCCAACTTACTTACTTTGCCAGATGTAGGCGAACTCTCCTGGAGTTGAATTCCTAAAAGCCATATCCAGGTTAAGAAGGGAAAGAAAATTTCGCGTCGATTGTTTACGTCCTCCCTAAAACGGGATATTAGGCATTTTCACGTGGAAGTCGTGCAGTGATGGCAAAGAAATGTACAAAAAAGCGTGATGCACGTGCGGAGTTGTTGTTTTGCCAATTTACCCTTAATGAATTTTTGACGTTCTTATTGCCGTTGCAGTCGTGCGAACAACAAAATTCTGATTCAAGCTGATAATTCCTCTAATTAGAAAATGAGCAGTAAACCTGTCCAGAATAGTTCCTCTGGATAAAACTTGCATGAAACTTAATTTTGTGAAGATGTAAAGAACATTTAACGACAAGTAAAAACTTGGTCACGTGGTACATTTGACAATTGCCGTTTTCCGTAAACGTGATTCTAATGTATGAGTTTTCTTTCGTGTAGACTGCTTTTATCAGCTACCATTCCATTTAAATTTGATGTTCACTTTAGTTAACTCATTTAGTAATTTTGTCTTCTTCATACAAAAGGCCATTTTCACGTTGACGACATTTGACTATAACTGCCAGAACTAATCACGTTTTTTGTTTCTTCTATAAATTTGTCGATCCCGCTGAGGATTAAAAAGCAAAGCCTGAATATTCAAACGAGAAAACAACTACACTGAAGGATTCTGGTAGTTGTAATATAATGACGTCATCGTGCAACTGTTCTATTTCCAAAGTTGTCAACCACAATGCAGGCCCAGGTAGCTCGAAAGGTACTCAAAAAGGTTTTTGTTTCTCCATTTTGAAATTATAAGCAAATGTCTCTCATTTCGGAACACGTCAGGGCGCTTATACAAGATTCCCCACCGAGTCAGGACAGCTCAAAGCGTTTTATGAGAATGATCGATCCCGTTCCCCTGCACGTGTCTGCCTCCTCCACAGGCATTCTCAAGGCTAAGTGGGAAGCACGGACTTTTAAAACGGGGTGCTGAAGCCAAGCCATGGTTGCCACAACCATACAGAGGTTTCTGAAATTCTCTGACTTTTTTGCTGACAAATGCAAAATTTCCCTGATCAACTGAATTAGCAATATATTAGTCCTGATGATGGACTCAACCCTCCTCCCACAGTCATCCCCTCCACCCATTTATTTAGCTCGAGCAGGAAGTGATGGAAAGGAAAAGGAGAGAAAGAGGAAAAGGGAGAAAGAGTTTTTCTCCCCCCGTCCCCGCCCCCCCGCTTCGCTTTTCTTATCCGAAATAAGAGTCTCGCCTAGGGCGCGCGAGGAAAGGGAGTGGGAGGGGGTGGGGTTAGAGGAAAGCGTAGAAAGGGAGTTTACAAACGCCCAAACCAAACAGGACGGTTGTAATGACTCAGGTATTTCATCATAGCAAAAGTAGCTACACATTGAAGCCAAGCGATTTTTTTACATCAAAATAAATACAATTTATTAGCTCCTATATTAACTAAGTACAAATGGTTGAAATTTACATGGCATACAAAAATTGTCAGGTTGGTTTTTTTCGGCTCTTTTATAGAACAAAAATTACACACATGCATACAACACATTCCTCTTACCTCTAACTACATGTTATACATTTAATACACTGTAATACTACAGTAACTACTCTAAGAAGGGTTGGCAATTTTCTCCTTCATCTTGAAACTATAATACTGACTAAAATTATAATTTCTCTTGACAATATCATTGACAAACCAAACATCAAAATCAGAAGAATCAAGATGATGATCGCGAAAGACAAAAATGTGTTTACTTTTCCAACAATTTCTCCTCCTTAGTGCAAAACAGCATGGAGAAGATGCACGTTGATATTAAAGACAACCTGAAAGGCAAGGTTCGTGGGCACCAGAATGAAAAGAGCGAAACGGAAAAAAAGGACATCGTCGCTAGTTTGTATTTCCTCCGTTAGATTTTGTTATTACATCCTTTTAATACGGTATTTTTGGGGAAAAAACGTATCAAAATTTTTTTGTGACAACTTATCCATCAAGGGTTGTCATAGATTAATGGTAGTCACAGCTTCTGCTTAATCCAGAGCGTTGTTACCAAGATTTTCAAGGTACCTTGGACCTTATTCCCAATTCCATGTTAACCTTTTAAGCGATTAAAGAAATAAGCACAAGAAATGATATTTTGATATCGATGCAGGAAAATGCTTACAAAAGAGGTTATTTCAAAGGCATTTTGTTTTAAAGGAGTAACTTAGATTCCTTTCTTTTCCTTCTTTTTGTTCCTCGAACATGTCCTCTTTCGACTTTCTTTACGTTTTTTTTGAAATCTATTCTTACCACTGTCATTCTAGTGTCGCTTTCACAAACGTATTTCTTTGATCTTGTTCTGTTCATTTCCGTTCGTCGATCCTCTCACGTGACTATTAAGACTCTCACCCCATCATTCTTCTTCACTTTTCATATCCGCCTCCTTATTTTCTTGTCTTTCATTACCCTGCAGTACTTCATCCTTTCTTCCACTTTCGATTCCATAAAATCTGTCATCCTTACCACCGAAACCTTTATTTTCCACATTATTTCCATTTTCTATCTCACCACAACTTCCGTTTTCTTCCAATTTTGTGTGGTCTATTTCCACTTCCGCTTCCTTATCCTTGACACATCCGTTTCCTGTCAGTTTCTCCTCTGCCTCTACGTTGTCATCACTTCCGTTTCCTAACAGTTGCTCTTCATCAACTTCCTCTTCGCCATCGCTTCCACTAATTCCCAGTTTTTCATCTTCACTTTCATTGGCCACTTTCTTGCCATGTTCGTTCTTTTTTCCTCCTTCCTGCTCTTCATCACACATCATTTCTTCTTCACTCCCAATTGATTTTTCCGTTTCTTTCTTTCCGTCCTCATCCACTTTTTCATTGCTTTTAATCTCACCGCTCCTAATTTCCTCTTTTTCTTCACTTCCTACTCTTTCTTCCATTTCCTTTCTTTCTTCTTCAACATCATCTTCCTCTTTCGTGTCCTCCCCACTCATTCCTTCGTCACTACTTTCGTTCTCTTCCTCTTCGCTCTCATCTTGTTGCGCGCCTTCATCGCTGTCATGTGTCTCCTGTTCTTCCGTACTGTTTTTCTCATCAGGGTTCTCATCCCCAGCGGAGACCCCTGGGTCATCACTTTTCTTTGCCTTACTATCGCTTGTCTCCTCTTCCTCCCCACCCTTCTCATCTTTAGATTTTTCCTTCTTATGTCGCTTATGCTTTTTGTGTTTCTTTTTGTTCTTACGCTTCTTCCCGGAAGATGTCTCATCCTTTTTGCTTTTGTCCTTCTTTTTCTTCTTCTCTTTACTCTTTTTTTCTTCTTTCTCTTTCCCCTTTTCTTTATCACCACTTTTCTTTCTCTCCTTCTCCTTTTTCTTCCCTTTCTCTTTTTCTTTCACTTTCTCCTTTCTTTTTTCTTTCACTTCTTTCACATCCTTCTCTTTTCCAACAACCTTTCCCGTATCCTTCTCCTCCTCCATTTTCTTATTACTGGCGTTGTCCCTTACAGGCCGTTTGTACTTTTTCTTCTCCGACGATTTCGCTGCATTTTTATCAGCAACAGCCTTTTCTTTCTGCTCTGTAGAAGGTTCGCCTTCTTTGGCATGAGAAGTCTTCTGCTTCTTGCGTTCTTTACCCTTCTGCTCCTTCTTCCTTTTCTTATGCTTTCTCTTCTTCTCCTCAGCGGAACCAGCCTCAGCTTTGCCGCGAGATGAACTAGGCGAAGGAGAGCGTGACTCGTCCCATCCTTCAGGAGTCGGCGATCGCGCAGGGCTTTGCGACGAATGTGATAGAGACCGTGACCTTGAACGTGAAATAGACCGTGAGCGTGAGCGTGAGCGTGATCGCGATGGAGAACGTGACCGTGAGCGTGACGGAGTCAAAGAGCGAGAGCGTAATCGCTGACGGCTTTTCTGAAGTTTTCTGTATTCGGAGAGTTCGTCATCAAAGTCGAAAAGGCTGCTAGCCGGGTCTTTCTTAGTGTCCTTCTTAGGCTCTTTTCTTGAACGCGACTCGCGAGAGGGGTAACTTGATGAAGGATGTTCATGTTTCTTTTTCCTAAACATGACAAATTAAAACAGTCAGGGCAGCTACATGTACTAATGAGCGTAAGCAACAGGACAGATGAAAGAAGACGACGGCAAAATGCTTGTGTGTGAGCAACGTGACAGGGCTATTACTTACGAGTTTTGTTTGGATTTTCACTTAACAATACTTTTCAAGGCCTTTTACAAACAAATTTCTGTAAAGGAAGGTAAAGTAGGGCGGAAATTTTTTCAAACAAAATTGTTGTCACGCTTGCCACACAAGGTTTGCTGTTTTCTTTCCCCCGCTATGGAAACCATTCAATATAGAAAGTCGAGAATCTGGGAAATGAAAGAAGATGAACGTACAAAAAGCCTCAGCAAGAATCAGCTCTGTGCGATATTTTATATGCGAGATATTTGGAGAAATGTTTTACCCAAACTTATAAATCTTTGTATGGAGATACTATGTTGGTGTCCCTTTAAGGGGTACAAATATGGCCGCCGGAAGCCAGCAGTCTGTCTTTGAGTTTTTGTGTAAATGCGTCAATTCATCGCTTGAGGAACTCTTAAAGATTAAAGTAATATTTATTCTGAGAAAGGGAATGTTGAGATACCAAAATCTCCAAAAATCGCTAAACGCTTTAAACCCACATAAGAGCTTTCCCAGCCGCCGGCTAACTCCCACGACACGCAAAAGCATGGATGGGAATATTCAAGCGTCCTTAATCGCAAATTGAGGAACCCTTTCGAAACGAAGATTTGTATGAATAAAGGTGTTTAGCTGCTGTAACACCTTATGAAAGTACAAAGTCAGAAGAATCAACATTTCCTT